ACGGTATCTAGGAGAAGGCCGTAGAGCGTCTGTTAGATACACCTATCGTGGATAAATGAAGGCCCTGAGTGCGCCGTTTATTCACAAACCAACGTATAAATAACAACACCGATCAGCGGTCCTTCATCAGCCGCCTACGGCGTTAAGCCGTCTCACGACCGAACTTGCCTTTCTCTCGGCAACCAACACACCACTGAACATGAAATCAAGTTTACTGAATAAATTGACATGAGGTGTTCGAAGGTTTGCTACTTAACCTGATCAAAAACCAGGCACGGCCCGTGGTACGCGCTACGTGCGCGACCACGCTCCTCGGCCAACACGGAGAATAAACATGAAAATTCATCGAACACATGAACTTAACTGAACATGCACAACATCAAGGGACTGATTACATGATAATTACTCAAGAGATTTCAACTCAAACATGAACGCTCACTATGTACTCGCATGGTTGAACGACTTAAAGTCGTGCCCTGAACATGAACAGATCGGAACTAACATGACTTTAACATGAGTATTCCAAGGTAAACTGAAGTTACCTCTTCGAACAACTGACTGAGCGCACCAACTGATCGGGATAATCGGGCTTCCGTGCGTGTGCGACGCTCTCGGCGTGCGGTGTGCGGTGCTTGCGGTACTCTCGCGTGCGGTGCTCTTCACCTTCCTCAAATCTCACTAACTCTCTAACTCTCTCAAGTATTCTCTATACTTAAGTAAGGTATATAGCTGGAAATGGGGAAAAATTGCCCCAACTCCCCACCTTTATATACTAGGGCCGAAAGAAGGAAGGTGAGGTGTAGCCTTGTTGGTTAATTCTCATGATGCCACTTGGAGTAAGCTAAAGGCTTAAGAAAGGATTACTCATCAAATACTATGCTTAGTCATTACTAAATAGGGCACCTCATGCTTAGACTTTTCAAAGAAAACCTCCCCAAAATGCGTACGTCTATTTGATACACTTGGGCAAAATTATATTATTTGCCCACGGTAATATATACATTAAGCATGATTAATATTTAATTAAGCATAATCTATATGCTTAATTAATTAGCTAATATGATACTTAATTTCCAAAATTATTCCGAACGTAAACGAGACGTCGAAAATAATTTCGGATAATCTCGACTGAAATAATTAATTCCGAAAAATAATACTCAACAATATCATTATATCGGAACTAAAAACATGATTAATATAATTAATCTGACGGGATATTACAGAAATAGTTAGTATTCAAAAAATAATCAA